GGGGATGAGGGTGTTGGCGCGCGCCCGAGAGGGGGAGAGGGCTGCGGGGACGCACGCACAGGACCGGCGCCAGGCTCGGAAGCGGGCGCGCGCCCCTGCGCTCTGCCCGCGCTCTACCCGCGTTAAGCGGCGCGGCACGCAATGGACGCACACTGCGAATGCACGGCCCCTGGCCACTTCCGCGGGCCCGCGGCTGTAGTATCCACTATCTACGTCGCCGCCATTGCCGCGCGTCCCTTGCAAACAGCTGGCATCCCTGGACATGTCGAACATTGCGGAAGTCTGGACGGCGGTGACCTCTGCAGCGACGCGCGTGGGGAGAGCCCAGCAGCAGCAGGAGCAGCAGCAGCAGCAGGAGCAGCCGCAGGAGCAGGAGGTGGAACAGGAGCAGGACTCTCAGCAGCGGAAGGGCTTGTTGGGGGGCGGCCGCGACGCGGACGCGAGGCAAGTGGGGTCTGCGTTGGCGGCGGCGACGGCGGACGTCGGCGGCCGGCAGCCGGCCGTGGTGAAGCTCGAGCCTGCGCAGGAAGACGTCGTACATGCTGACGTCATCGATGGTGACGTCATCGACGAGCGTGCGCGGGCGGGTGTGGACGGGCTGCGGCGGGCGCAGGCAGACGGGCAGGACGAGCCCATGGAAGAGCAGCACGAGGAACAGCAAGCGGCAGAGTCGCAGCAGCAGCAGGAGGAGGACGAGCAACTGCAGCAGCGGCAGCAAGAGGGACGGCAAGAGTCCGAGTTGCTGCAGCAGCAGGAGCAATTGAGGCAGCAACAAGACGACCAGCGAGAGAAGCAGCAGGAGGGGGATCAGCTGCACCTCCATCAACCCGAGCCGCAGCCCTCCCGGCCGCGCTCACTGCGGCGCCTGCGCAGCATGGGCGACAGCTCATTGGCCGCCGGCTCGCCAGACGCATCAACCAGCGGGTCTCACCCTGGCAGGGACTCACCGGCCAAGGGCGCCACCGCTGCGCCGCCCCCAGGCGCCCCCGCGCGCCGCGGCAAGGCGGCGGGCGCCGAGCCGGCCTCGCAGCCGCCCGCTCCCGAGGGCGGACGCACGCGCGGGGCGGCGGCGGCAGCGGCGCTGGCGGCGGCGGCTGCGGGCGCAGCGGAGGGGCCCGGGGGCGGCCGCGGGCAGAAGCGTCGGAAGGGTGATGGGGAAGATCGGACGGACGGGCCCGGGGGCGAAGCGACCGCAGAGGCGACTGCGGAGCAGGGCGACTTGATCGAAGGTACCGGTCAGGGCACCCTCGTCAAGGAGCCGTCCGCCGCGACAGATGCGACAGGTACCGAGGAGAAGCGGCCAGACGAGGAGGCGCCGGCGAAGCGGCGGCGCGGCCGCCCGCCCAAGGTGCGTCCGGAGCAGCAGCAGGACCGGCAGCCGTCTGCAGCTGCGCAGGCTGAGGGGCAGCAGGAGCAGCAGCAGGAGCAGCAGGAGCCGGAGCAGCAGGATGAGCAGCAGCAGGGCCAGCAGCACCAGCAGCAGCAGCAAAAGCAGGAGAAGCAGCACCAGGACCAGCAGCACACGCAGGAGGAGCAGCAGCAAGCCCAGCCAGCCAGCGAGGGGGAGCAGCAGGGGCGGCCGCAGGCCGCCGCCCAGGTGGCCGAGACTGCTGGCGCCGCCGCCTCAACCTCGACAGGCGGCTCAAAGCCCCCACTAGGCGCGGCCAGGCCCACCGGCGGCGCCGAAGAGGCGGCAACCGCCGCTTGGAGCGCCCTCGGCGGCGAGCAAGCGCCGCAGGGCGAGCGGCAGCCCGAGGGCGCGCAGGACAGCTGCACACAGCAGCAGCAGCAGCAGCAGCAGCAGCAGCAGCAGCAGCAGCAGCAGCGGTTGGCGGAGCCGCCGGACCCCCAGCAGGAGCAGCGCCGCCGCCTGGTGCGCCTGCGGGACGCGCTCGCACAAGAGCAGCGCCAGGCGGCGCGCCGGCGGCGCGAGGCGGCCGCGATGCCGCAGATCACGGTCCGGCCGGCGGCGTCGTGGCCGGCGGTGCTGGACGTGGGGCGCATGTTTGCAGATGTTGTCAAGGTGTGGCGGCCGCGGACGCTGGAGTGATCCCCATTCCTTGCCGGCCTGGCCGGCCGTTCGCGTCTCTGCATCGCCCGATGGTCTTTGGATTTGCCGCCGTCGAGTCGGAGCATGTGTTTGCTTTGCAGGCGGGGCCGGCGCCGCCGCACCTACGCAAGCCCGGCTTTGCGGTGCTGGCGTCAGCTGGGGGTGTCCGCCACCACTCCCACCCCCTCATCCGCCCACCTGCCCGGCCCCACAACACCGGCCGTCGCCGCTCCCGCACCTCCGCCCCTCCAAAACCGCTCCCGGGACATGGTCAGAAACACCCGCGCGGCCGCCCCCCTCCCCGCCGCCCCGCTGCGCGCCCGCAGGTCTACAACTCCGGATCCAGTGCTCTGCCACTGCCGTCTGACGCCCTGGCCTGCCTCTCAAAACTGCGCCTGGCCACGGACACCCTCTGCCGCGGCTGGCTGGCCCACTGCCGCGCGCTGCTGGACGGCCTGTCCGACGCCGCCGCCGCGCGCGCCGCCGCGGCCGTCGCCGCGCGCGAGGCGGCCGTCCTCGGC